CATAATTCACGTTGAACTACGGTTAATTAGATGTAAATTTATTCAATATGTTTCTTCACCATCACCAAATTTCATCTTTCTACGTCCGTAAGCCACAGAGTTAAAAGACTATAAAACACAATAGATGTAAACAATTTCTGTATTTTTCTTCTTCACCGTCACCAAAATTCTGGTTTCTTAACCTCTAAGAAACTAACTTAAGAGAATACAAATGAATGACCCATGATTTATACACATGCATAACAATTAAAATTAAATAATCATGCTGAATATTATTTATATTCATCGTATTCACATTGACTTATGGTATATGACATCTAAAAATATTAGATATTTCTCTTCACCGTCCCAACGTTTTAATCTTTTTATCACCATTCAAAAAACATAATAGACTATAGTAGATGTAAAAAATTACCTATATGTTATTTTTCTACTCCATCACAAAATTTTAGGTTTTTCCCCACTAAAAAACAAAGTTAAAAGACTATACTCCATGACATATATTTCTTATAAAATAGGTAATAAATAAAATAAATAATAAAGATAGAGTTTATTTATATTTACCATAATTCAAGTTGAACTATGGTTAATTAGATGTAAATTTATTCAATATGTTTCTTCACCATCACCAAATTTCATCTTTCTTTGTCGGTAAGCCACAGAGTTAAAAGACTATAAAACACAATATATGTAAACAATTTCTGTATTTTTCTTCTTCACCGTCACAAAAATTCTGGTTTCATAACGTCTAACAAACTAACTTAATAGAATACAAATGAATGACCCATGATTTATACACATGCATAACAATTAAAATTAAATAATCATGCACAATATTATTTATATTCATCGTATTCACATTGACTTATGGTATATGACATCTAAAAATATTAGATATTTCTCTTCACCGTCCCAACGTTTTAATCTTTTTATCACCATTCAAAAAACATAATAGACTATAGTAGATGTAAAAAATTTCATATATTTTATTTTTCTACTCCATCACAAAATTTTAGGTTTTTCCCCACTAAAAAACAAAGTTAAAAGACTATAATCCATGACATATATTTCTTATAAAATAGGTAATAAATAAAATAAATAATAAAGCTAGAATTTATTTATATTTACCATAATTCACATTGAACTATGGTTAATTAGATGTAAATTTATTTAATATGTTTCTTCACCATCATCAAATTTCATCTTTCTTCGTCAGTAAGCCACAGAGTTAAAAGACTATAAAACACAATAGATCTAAACAATTTCTATATTTTTCTTCTTCACCGTCACCAAAATTCTAGTTTCTTAACCTCAAAGAAACTAACTTAACAGAATACAAATGAATGACCCATGATTTATACACATGCATAACAATTAAAATTAAATAATCATGCTCAATATTATTTATATTCATCGTATTCACATTGACTTATGGTATATGACATCTAAAAATATTAGATATTTCCCTTCACCGTCCCAACGTTTTAATCTTTTTATCACCATTCAAAAAACATAATAGACTATAGTAGATGTAAAAAATTACCTATATTTTATTTTTCTACTCCATCACAAAATTTTAGGTTTTTCCCCACTAAAAAACAAAGTTAAAAGACTATACTCCATGACATATATTTCTTATAAAATAGGTAATAAATAAAATAAATAATAAAGATAGAGTTTATTTATATTTACCATAATTCAAGTTGAACTATGGTTAAATAGATGTAAATTTATTCAATATGTTTCTTCACCATCACCAAATTTCATCTTTCTTCGTCGGTAAGCCACAGAGTTAAAAGACTATAAAACACAATAGATGTAAACAATTTCTGTATTTTTTTTCTTCACCGTCACCAAAATTCTGGTTTCTTAACCTCTAAGAAACTAACTTAAGAGAATACAAATGAATGACCCATGATTTATACACATGCATAACAATTAAAATTAAATAATCATGCTCAATATTATTTATATTTATCGTATTCACATTGACTTATGGTATATGACATCTAAAAATACTTGATATTTCTCTTCACCGTCCCAACGTTTTAATCTTTTTATCACCATTCAAAAAACATAATAGACTATAGTAGATGTAAAAAATTACCTATATTTTATTTTTCTACTCCATCACAAAATTTTAGGTTTTTCCCCACTAAAAAACAAAGTTAAAAGACTATACTCCATGACATATATTTCTTATAAAATAGGTAATAAATAAAATAAATAATAAAGCTAGAATTTATTTATATTTACCATAATTCAAGTTGAACTATGGTTAATTAGATGTAAATTTATTCAATATGTTTCTTCACCATCACCAAATTTCATTTTTCTTCGTCGGTAAGCCACAGAGTTAAAAGACTATAAAACACAATAGATGTAAACAATTTCTGTATTTTTCTTCTTCACCGTCACCAAAATTCTGGTTTCTTAACCTCTAAGAAACTAACTTAAGAGAATACAACTGAATGACCCATGATTTATACACATGCATAACAATTAAAATTAAATAATCATGCTCAATATTATTTATATTCATCGTATTCACATTGACTTATGGTATATGACATCTAAAAATATTAGATATTTCTCTTCACCGTCCCAACGTTTTAATCTTTTTATCACCATTCAAAAAAAATAATAGACTATAGTAGATGTAAAAAATTACCTATATTTTATTTTTCTACTCCATCACAAAATTTTAGGTTTTTCCCCACTAAAAAACAAAGTTAAAAGACTATACTCCATGACATATATTTCTTATAAAATAGGTAATAAATAAAATAAATAATTAAGCTAGAATTTATTTATATTTACCATTATTCACATTGAACTATGGTTAATTAGATGTAAATTTATTCAATATGTTTCTTCACCATCACCAAATTTCATCTTTCTTCGTCGGTAAGCCACAGAGTTAAAAGACTATAAAACACAATAGATGTAAACAATTTCTGTATTTTTCTTCTTCACCGTCACCAAAATTCTGGTTTCTTAATCTCTAAGAAACTAACTTAAGAGAATACAAATGAATCACCCATG